AGATAGAGGGAAGACTGCTCCCTACAGTATTCTGTCCTGTCTTAATCACCCTCTGTAGAGCTTTCCCCTCAGTAGCAGTGTCGCTGCCATACTACAAAGTGATGCCAGCACAGAGAATGCATTCTAGCACACAGTGATAAAGGTCCCTCAGGACTGAGCTCCCGAAACCATCTCTCTCCAGCTTACTGAGAAAATAAAGATTCTGATGGGCTTTCTTGGCCAGAGAGAAATATTTGGCACTCCAGGTGAAGTCACTGGATAAATGCACATCCAGATACCTGTAGCTGGAGACCACCTTTACAGCTGCTTCTCTGAGGTACAGGGGGTTAAGGGCATTTTGCCCCTTCTCCAATCCAACATGATCTCATCAGTTTGTTACACATTATTTCAGAGGTTTTTGGGTGAGTAAAGGGTGTGTGGACTATGAATGAGCATCAGCGGAGGATCAGTTCTTCCAGTTGGCGGATTGATGTGGTCCACAGTGACGTTGATTGAGTCCTTCATGTGGGTCATAATTATCTGCTCAAAGTACTTCATGACTACCAATGTTATAGCAAAAATGTTCATTCAGGCCTGTCACTGCCTGTTACAGTGGCATTTTTAAGATATCTGTCAACATCTCATAATAATAGATTGACACCTTAGTAACTCAGCACCAATGCATCTATCAGCCTGTAGTCTATTTTCCTTAATTTACTTTGGCTCCGAAGTTCTCATTCTTCCCTACAGATGTGATGTCAAGCACGTCTATGTTAAATGGATCCAACCTAACAAACAATCAAAGAGTTATATTCAAGATGGATTTTGTGGATACTCAGAAGCAACCAGCATCAAGCTGGACTCACACACCAATATCAACTCATTGTAAGGTGAAAAAATAAATAGGAAGGGAAATCTTGTTAAGAACGAGCGAGCGACGAGAACGAGCAGTGCTACAGTTATGTGTTTTTGCCATAGGTGTCAGTATCATTAGAAAACTCAGTAATGCATCTTTAGGACACCTAATTAAGAGACTAAAAAATAGTCAATAGTTAATCACAAGTGGATTTGTTGAATCAACACTGCCGAATTAATCAACAACACTGCAGTCAGATTTTTTTTAATTATGCAACCAGAAACAAGGTTGTTCCAGTCTTAACATCTTTTTCTAAGACCCGCTATCAGAGATGTATCAGATGTTTTAGGTCTGAAAGTAGTAGAGTGAGCCTTGTTATGCTTTTCATATTATAGTTAAACTAATCATGCGCTTACTTTCATTAACTGCACTACACAGCATTTTTCTCCTTGCAAAGACAGATAACTTTCAGAGAAAGTTATGTCAATTCTAACCTACTTTCCATGAGATAGAGATGGCTCTGGGGAGATGTAAGAGAGCCTCTACAGTATTATTAAATCTGTTGAAATAAAGTATTTTATAGATCCAGTTCATCAACAAATCTATTTAGAGATGAGGCAAACAGGATTTGATGTAAGTCCTTTGGCTTCATTGACTTAAAAATACTCTGGGGTTTACTAAAGACAGAATGATGTAAGAAGAAAATTAAGTGGCAACATTGCTTAAAGCTGCAAGCTAATAGCAGGGATTTATCTTAACCATCCTCAGGACTTTATTAAATTCTGCAAACAGGGGATTACACTCTTGTTTGCAAGTAAAATCTGACATAGTAAGACTAGTTAGAAAACAAATGGGTTTGCATAGGGTAAGTGTCATGCTATCTTTGTCAAAATATAGTTATTTTTAGTATCAAAGATTCCAAAATTTTGTTTAAGATAATTTCACATGGAAACATTCAGCATTCAAAGGAATAAAGCCCAAATTTAGCTACATTACAGACAGCTAAATGATGAAAATTAGTTTAAATAAAGCTAATTTTTACAGAAAGGATAAAAACAAGTTTGGCTGAGTGACTGAAATGATTTTAACATTGAAAGAAAGGCTGGCTGCACAGACAGATATCTGGATAAAAGTAAAAAAGAAGTATATTGCCCTGATTGGAATAATTTTTTTATGTAATTGCAGTCAAGTACAATTGTGCATAATGGATTATATGAAAGCATACATTAGGACTTCTTCTCATTGACTACAGCTTCCCTGTTTCTGCAAAAGAAAAGCATCTCCACAGCATATTGCTGCCACCATCAGTTTTCACCTGATGGTGAGAATGCACACTTAACATTTTCAAATTCTCTTCTAAGGAGTGAGTGCAGTGTTACAACATATTCTTAAACCCAACATATATTATAGCCCAGGTAGGTGCTACATGTATTTCATCATATTCCTCCCAAGTTTTAGGTATTAGTCTTGCGAGGTGACGCAAAACATTTCCTTATATTGTAATAAAAATGTTTTATTAATATTTTTTTCTATTTCCTTTGACTATTTTAGCTTTTAAGCTTACATATTTCCTAAATCAAGCTCCAGATTATCATTAGAAGGCAGTCTGAAAGTTTCACTGTAATTTGTATTATCAAGGCATTATTAT